GCAGGGACTTTGAGGTCAGGTGGCCTGGATTCAAAACCTGCTCCTGCCACTTGGCCACTGTGTGACCTTCCAGGGAAATGGTGGATCGTTCTGAGGTCAGGAGAGTACAGTTGGCTCTGTTCATGAGCTCCGTGAATGCCTGTGCTGGGTTGTAAGTGGAGCACTCAGTGTCACCCCCCACCCCCCAATCTGAATGCCTTATCCTGTGCGCCTTAAAATGTATTGGTGCCAAAGCCAAGTGCCATCTTTTCTTTGTTTCACTACAGGGATACAATTAAATGAGCTCAGTTAAATTTTTCAGTTGACCCTTGAACAAGGAGGGGTTTAAGGATGCTGGCCCTCTGTGCGGTTGAAAATCCACTTATAATTTATAACGGCCATGCTTGTCCACAGTTTCTTGGTATCCACGGATTCAACCGATGGTGGATGGTGTAGTCCTGCGGTATTTACTACTGCAACAGATCCACGTGTAAGTGGGCCCACGCAGTTCAAACCCGTGTCGTTCAAGGGTTAACTGCACTGAGTTCTTACTATGTGCAGACCCTGGGCTGGGTATCGTGGAGGGAGAGTCGAGAAAAGGATGCTGCTGGTGGTAACTCTCAAGACATCAAAGGGAGAGCTCGGGGTTAGAAATCAGTAAAACTGGTCTGGGAGAGTTGTTTCTCCTTCTCTGGGACTCAGGCTCCATGTGTCACACAGGGAGAGACCAATGGCATCTCCTCTGACACGTCCTGGAAGGACTAGATGAGAGGGGGGTGTGTGACACCCATTTGCAATAGCTAAGTGCTACACAGTGTAGGGTGTTTTCATTCTTATCAAATCCACTGGTGTCCACTTGGAGGTCACCCCTGATCGTGTCCTTGAGGCCCCGTGAGAGCTTGCTGGGGTTTTCCACGGGATGACTTGATCGGAGACATTCCACTGGACTTGGTTTGCCTTAGGGGGCCCTGGGCAGCTCCCCGCGTTCAATTTCTGTGAAGAGAAGGGCTGTGACTTCCGTCCGTCCGTGGGCTCTTTACCGAGAGCCAGTCCCCTGCATTCCTGTTCTGAGGAAGGAGAGGGATCGCACTCACTGTCTGGTCTGCACGGCTGTGTGCCAGAGAACTGTCTTCAGTGTTGGAACAGCAGAAATTCAGAGCGAGGCTGCGGAGACCCGTTATAATGCGTGAGAGGGAGGCAGTGCAAATGGCTGGGGACCAGCGAACCCCCGTGAGCCCCTTGAGCGTCAGGAAGGTATTCTTATTTTTAAAATACCACTGACTTTTATGATTTCTGAGCCCAGAGGCCCCTAACTGAGCTTCCCGATTGTTTCTTCCCTGAGTTTTAAAAATTTTAAAAATAAAATTGTTATGGTCTTAGCTTCAAGGTTGACCACAAGCTTCCCCGCTTCCCCCCGTGGGCCTAGAGCTTTCCGGTCAGCCAGGGCAGGGCTGTGGGTGTGCCAGGGCCTGGGTTTTCCCTCTGGGAAGGTGGAAAGGCAGCAAGCTTGGCTGGAGAGCGCAAACCACACAAGCTGGGTACTCTTATGCAAAACCCATGCACGGGGGCCTACTTAGAGTTAGGCATGGTGCTGGGTAATGAGGGGAACAAAGGCATGACTGTTAGCTGATCCCCAAAGAGATGGGGAAGGAGATAAATAAAGTCAATTGCAGGGGAATGCAGTGGAAAGGTCCCCAAAATGGCTTGAGGGTGTGGCTGGCCAAAGAGAGGCATTTGAGCAGATCTGTAAAAGCGTTGTAGAATCCCCAGGTATAGAAAAGGCTCATGGACATTTCAGCAGAGGGGGCGGTGTGGTTGAAGACTGCGAAGTGAGAAGTTCAGGTGTGTAGAGAAGATGCTGGTGGAAAAGGGGTGTGCATGAGACCGGGGTTGGGGCAGGGCAGATGGGAAAGGCCTGAAACCTTGAGGTTGATATTGTCAAGTCTGTGGTTTGGAAAGATCTTCTGTTTGAATACCCCTTGTGACGGGAAGCTCACTACCTCTAGGGTAACCCATTCCACCGTCAGCTCTGACTTATAAAAAGTCCTTCCTGAGAGCAAGCCAGTGCCTGTTGGCCTTGGAGGGGCCTGGAGGACCAACCTAGGCCGTGCTTGATCCTTCCATCCTTGTTTTTGTCCTTGTTAGAGTGATGGACACTTGGCTTGTAGACCAGCATGATAACTTCCTTTTACCACAAGCATCACAAAGTTTAGGCATGTGCCCAGAACCTCCAGAACTTTCCGTTAATGACTGAGGTTGGCCTACTATAAGGAATTCATCTGAATTCATCTCCACAGTTTTCCTGGCGGCTCAGAACTTGGGGGACTTGGGATTCAACAGCCCTGATTTTGAATCCCATCTCAGCTGCTTTGTAGCTTTCTGACTTTGAGCATGTGACTTTCCTCTTCAAGTTCAGCTTCCTCCTCCTCTCATGGGAGTTACAGGGTGCAAACAACACCCCCAGCTCCCTCCACTCTGGTTAAGCGGCTTCTCTCTTCCCACACCCTGGAGATGGAGTTTTGGAAGCTCGTCGGGCAGTGCTGTCATCGAGACGCTTCCAGAGCCCCTGATCCCTTTTCAATCGCCTTACTCCCCTGGGAATCGATTTATGTGTTTTTTTGGCTAAAGCAGGCCACCGGAGGAAGACTTTCTCCTGCTTCTGTAAATGTACCTGTTTTAGGGCTGCGCGCTCCTCTCCGTTTCTGTCTGTTTGGGATGCGTGTGCAATATGCGTTTTGCAGACTGCCTCGGCCTGTTTTTAGACAAAATATTTTGACAGTCCGTCCTCCGCCTTGCCTCTCTAACTGTCTTTGGGAGGCCCTGGGATTTGCTTTTCCTGAGCCTTTGGCTCTGTGATCCTCTAAATCTTGAGCGTCCAGTGGGGTCAACCTTCCTGGCTGCGGGCCTGACCAGGAATGTGAAATGACCCAGCATCAGAGAAGGCAGGCTCCCCGGGGCTCACCCGCGTCACCCCCCTGCTGTCTCAGACTGGAGATGGAGGCCCAGAGAGCAGGGTCGGGGGACCTGTCTAAAGTCACAGGGCAAACTGGTGGCAGAGGTGGGGGGACAGCTCTCCTCCCTTGACTCCACATCCTGCTCTCAGCTGGGGCCCTGGAGCCCCATGAAGTAGCCTGAGTGTTCCAGGTGTTTGTTCATCGGGGCTGCACACGTTTTCCAGGCCTGCAGGTCTTTCTGTAGGTCACCACCCCGATCAGTGCCCAGCTTGAGACTCAACCTTATTCACGCTCAGGATGCCTGATTTGCAAACCCCCAAACTCAGAGCCAATCAGACATTTCCTGAACTCCATCCTCCTCCTGCCCCGGTCCTGACTGAGCGGGAAGTTGTGCTGTGGCACCGCTCAGGAAGCCTCCAGGGCAGGCGGTGGGTTCCAGCAGCTGTGATTTGGGCAACTCGAGCTGTAATCCCCATCCCCACTCCCCCCCCCCC